AGATATTTTATGCGAGCAGCATTATCAAAATACGCACAAGAGAGACGACACTGGCAAATACATAGTTCAAATGCCAATCAAAGATCTCCTGGGAGAATCCAAACATTTAGCAGAGCAAAAACTTAACACATGGAGACCGTAGAAACAGAGGATGATCAAGATCCATTGGATAAAAGCAATTATCCTCACTGCTATCCGCAGCATCATGGAGCCTACCGCACTGAAAAGACTACAACTCCTCTCAGAGTAGTCTTCAACGCCTCAGCACCTACTTCAACTGGTGTAAGCTTAAATGATCTACAAATGAAAGGACAGGTAAAAGAGGACATTTCCGACATTTTGGTGCGTTTCCATAAACATCACATTGTCTTTATGACAGATATTCAAAAAATTTTACGAAAAATATTAGTTGAACCTTCCCAAAGAAACCTTCTTAGCATACTTTGGAAAACAAGCGAGTATCGACCGTGCAAAACATACCGAATGAAAACCGTAACGTACGACACAACTTCAGCTCCTTTTTTGGGCACTCGAACAATCCTCCAGGCAGCTAGAGATGAGTCTGAAAGATTTCATCTTGCGGCTGAGGCTCACAAGAGGGACAGTTACATGGATGATGTCGTTAGTGGAGTGGATAACGTACTTACAGTTGTCTGGTCTCCTAAGATCTTGTGGCATGAAGTTACAAAAGTGGAGATCCAATGCAGTTGAATTAGACGAGTCTACTGATGTCGTAGAGCACTGACGAGACTACAAAAATGTTGGGTGTCATCCGGAATGCCAGAACAAATGAAATCCGGTTTCAACTTATGTCGTTAAAAAGGCAAAAACCTATACAAAGAGAGATTTGCTTAGCGTCATAGCATGTATCTTTGATCCGCTTGGACTTTTGGGCCCAATTATCACAAAAGCAAAAATCTTCCTTCAGAGAGTCTGGACAATCAAGTTAACGTGGGACGATGTGCTTCCTCCAAATTTAGCCAAAGAATGGGAATTGTTTGTCCACAATTTTCCAGCCATACACGAGTTACATGTGAAACGCAAAGTGACAGACAATGCATCAGGAATGGAACTACATGTTTTTGTCGACGCCAGTGTCCTTGCTTACGGAGCAGCAATTTATGCACACACTCGAAATGCAGGCGGATAGCTTACATCAGAACTATTGTGTTCTAAGTCAAGAGTTGCTCCCATAAAACAACTCACTATTCCACGTCTTGAACTGTTATCTTCTCTATTGGCATGCAGGCTACTGGGCAAAGTACAGAAGTCTCTGAATGTCCCCAACGAACAGTGTTATATATATTCTCACTCAAAATAGACTCAAAAATAGTTCACGCATGGATAAAAACTGACTGTATAAAGTTAAAACAATATGTCCCCAACCGAGTAATATCAATCTGAACTCAAACCATCGCAAGACAATAATCTATTAATTTCTCATTTCAATTTTTCAAACCAAATATTTTCTATAACAAATTCTTATTCAAAATTGATTAATGTAATGTCTTATGTATACAGGTTTATTTACAACTGTAAGAATCAAATTAAGAGAAGTGGAAATCTTACATCCTGTGAGGTAAGTGAAGGAGAATTAAAGTTATGTTCATTTGTGCAGCAGAAATCTTTAGCAGAAGAATTTAAATTATTGAAATCAGGTAAACCAGTGCATGTTACTAGCAAACTGAAATTTTTGTTTCTATTTTTTGATAATTCAGCAAATGCTATAAGAGTTGGAGGGCGTCTAACAAATTCTGATTTGCCTATGAAAGCAAACATCCCATAGTTTTGCCTAAAAATCATAAAATTTCTGTGCTTATTTTATTAAATTTACATAAATCAAATTGTCACATAGGTGCACAGGCACTATTAAATTTGTCAAGACTAACAGTTTGGATAATACATGGAAGGAATTTGGCTCGAAAAATTGTTCATGATTGAGTCATTTGCACTAAATTTAAACCTAGATTTTTAGTTCAAAAATGGAAGATTTGCCTAGCGTTCGATATAAACCAACTTTTCCTTTCTTAAATACTGGTACTGATTTCGCAGGACCTTTTTTCGTAAAAATCAACATAAAGGTCCGTTTCAAAAAATATTTATCTCTATTTTTGTATGTCTTGTAACTAAAGCTATTCACATTGAAATTTTTTTAATCTAACATCTGACTCTTTTATTTCAACCCTAAAAAGAATCATTGCCCGTAGAGGCAAATGTTCCATATTATACAGTGACAATGCCAAAGCCTACTTAGGAGCAAATAGAGAAATTAAACGTCAGAAACGTAAACCAGATGAATCAAAATTTCTTGTTTCTGAGAGAATGAATTGGAAGTTTATTCCCCCTAGAAGTCCAAATTTTGGTGGAATATGGGAAAGTGGTGTAAAATCATTTAAATTTCACTTGAAACGAACAATAGGTACTTTAATATACGAAGAATTTCTTACTATTATTAATCAAATCGAAGGCATTTTAAATTCAAGGCCTTTAATGCCACTTTCCAGTGATGCTGTCTGATGATCTGGATGTTTTAACACCAGCTCATTTTTTAATAGAAAGATCTATAAAAAGCATTCCTGAACCAGAATTAATTGATCTTTTAGATAATAGGTTAAGTAGGTGGCAATTGACTACAAAATTTACCCAAGCAATTTGGAAAAAATGGTCAAATAATTATTTGTGCCATTTACAACAGCGATCGAAATGGCTCTTTGAAAAGGATAACATTTCTATTGGCACTGTGGTTAGAGATGATAATTTGCCCATAAATCAATGGCTCATGGGAGTTGTCGAGTTGTTTCCAGGAAAAGACAAATGTGTTAGAGTTTGCAGTGTGAAAACCAAACGTGGTATTTTCAAACGTCCTATCACTAAGCTAGCCATTTTACCAGTACCAGTTGAAGTTTGATTAAGTCATTTCATTGTGTGTCAATTTTATATGTATATATATTTTTGCTTTCGATTTCTTTTAAAAAAGTGATGTCATTTCCCAATTATTTGTTTTTGCATATTACTTATATTTGATATTATTTCATTGCTGATATATTTGAAATACAGTACTGTATTTCAATGCGGGGAGTATGTTGTATCTTTACTCCAGCGCCATCTACAGTAACGTTTTGTAACAGTCAGAGTTGCAATAAACAAGCTGTCAAAAGGTTGGTGGTGCTCTCTCTCTTGTCGCATTCCAATGCTAGCATTTACCAGATTTAGAAAAATTACTAATTTCAGGTCTTACCAGCGATAATACAGTCCACACTAATTAGAAGTGAAGATTCATGGATAAATTACCCCCCTTTTGTTACCCCGCACCAACAACAGTAATAAAAGCAAAATTTCTATTGCTATCATAAAACACATTCAAAGGTATACTTTGAAATACATAAAATTTTCCTAGTCTAGGAAAAGTACATAAATAGTTATATTTATTATCATAAATTATCAACTATCATATCATAAATTATCAACTATCAACTAAATCATAAATAACCACAAACATTAATGCTAAATTTAAAGTTTGCTATATCTGCACTGCTAATCAAATTCTTATGCATGTATACAAAACATTTTTAATATTCATTTGAATGATATCATTCTTATCTTTAAAATGATACATTCCCAGAATTCAAGGGTTTCTTTGTCACCCACCAAAGCTTTAGATTCTGGTAAGTATCCATAAGATAAGAAACCAAGATTTTTTGTAACAGAAGTGAGATGATGATGCAGTATATTTAGAGTTTTCCATCGACACCTTGAATGCGTCTAATTGACAGTATGTTCTTTTTTCTCCCACAATTCAAGGTTTTGTTTTGTAAATCACAGTTCTTTTTTAACTTTCCACATCTATAGTACAATCTCAGTCTTGTTTTACTTCTTTCTCGATTCTGGCCCATCTCATCTTGATTTTTGCAACTGAACTTTCAATCTTGCTTTTTCGTATTTGAATAGGATACATTAGCTAATCCTTCCTTTTTTGTTCAATGTAGCTTCAGTAATTGGCATTCAATATTACTCATTGCGAAACTTTCTTATCTGTACAAAACTTGTACTAGGCCGTTGAACTCACGTGGTATTAACTGGAAGCAAACCAAGATTTCTGGTATGTCAAATCCAGCCACTTCTTGTTGTTTCTCATTGTCTCAACGAAAGTAAATTGAAATAGTTTCCTCATTTTGATTAACTGTAACTCGAAGAACCCAGCAAATCTAGCTAGTTATTTTTCAAGACTGTCCAAGCTTCCATCAAAAATGTGACTAATTAGAGGTTTCTTTCAATTCTTTGGTTGATAGTAGTATAAGCTTGTTGCTTTCTCAGTTCAAATAGTTGTTTTTCACATTCAGAAGCAACATTGGAACTTCTATTTCCTTCTATAAAATCCCATATACCTCTATCCATAAGTAACACTTTCATGTCAGTCTTCCATGTTGAGTAATTTCACAGTCCCAACATCGGAAACTAAAATTGAATCTCTATTGGACAACTCCGTATTGCTATTCACTTAAATCAGAAAGGCAGGAGGCCCATAACCTTCTATAGTCAGTTTCTTCGCTGCAGTGTCATAACGAAGCTTGTAGATCCAAAACAGCATTTATTGCATAAGATAAAGAGCATACTTTGCCACTAAATAAAAACATAACAATTGTACAGTGAGCCCGAAAAAATTTACCATCCTGAATAACTTTCAACCTAATGATTGGATCTACCCGTTCTAGGATTTAATCTCAAAAGCTCGAGGGGGTGACCTCAAATATGCCAATTAATATGTGCAGACGATATTTTAAGTTACAAAATCAGACACAAAAACATACTTTCTCTAAATAAAAATACCTTCTTGTTTGACGGATTTTTGATCCCCAAAATATAGGGGATACCTACAATCTTCGAAATATGATCCCCATAGTTTGGTCAGGACAGTGATTCAAAATTTGGATCACTCAAAGTTAATTTTACTTTTAGAGGGAAAGTTTTGTACACAGTTATAAAATTGAAAGTTTCTTTACCTTACTACGATCACTTAGAATATCCTCTTTGCCAGCCTCTGCATTCATTAAAACTGAAAAATGATTCATCAATTTTTGTGCTTCTACTGCACGAGCACGAGGAGTATTTACACTCTCTAGTTGGTCACCCAGGTGAACTACTTTTGTAGCTACAAAATCTATTCTTTCATCGAGTTCATGAAATGTCTCATAAGCAGCCTAGAAAATATTTGCATAAATATAACAAAAGCATGACATACAATAAATCAATGTTCCTTAAAATTAGAGACTAAGAGTATTCTTGACAATCAAATTATTATTTATATATAAATAAATAAAAAATTCAAAATGAACCTTATTTTTGTCGATAAGTTCTTTTGTTTTTTCCCAGTGAGCTTTCTCTTCTTCTCGGCATAGCATCTCTAATGTACCACACTGACGCTGCTTGGTTTCATAACTTTGCTGCAGATGTAGAATGGCATGCTCAAATGCTTTGTGTAGTGAGCTTGGATCAAATGCCTCACCTTCTCTCTGAATACCTCCTATTCGCCATGAAAGACGATCTACATATCCCTCAGGATCAAATGGTTCATCAGCAAATAACTGCAAATAAAACACATTGTTTTGTTAAGACAATGATCCAGTATAAAATTTTGACAACAAAATTCACAGCAACTATAAATTGAACTAAGTACATTTATAATAAAATGATAAACTCAATATTGGAACTAAGTCTATATTCAGTTGGACATAGCACAGGATCTCCAAGCATCCAGACAATAATGATGCATGCAATAACACTAGGTATATATCGAATAAAATGAATACAGGTTGCAAAAAAACAGCAACAAGATGCATCCACAACTGTTTCTACAAGTATCTGGTTGAATTATCAAAATCAGGACACATTTAAACTCTAACAAATTAAACTTTTAAGATTTAACACCTTAAAGACTTCAGAACTTGAAGGAAAAAAATTAAACATTTTTAGTTTAAGTTTAAAGCATACATCAAAATTTTCATTAAAGTAATAATTGCAATGTAAAAAAAAAAAAAAAAAAAAAAAAAAAAATAAAAAAAAAAAAAAAANAAAAAAAAAAAAAAAAAAAAAAAAAAAAAAAAAAAAAAACTATTCGAACATAACAGTAAATAATTTATACCAGGTTTTAATAAAAGCTTTTACCTAACATAAAATTCCAGAAATTCAATTTTTTCAGGATTTATCTTAAATTGTTTAATTGTTCCCGAGTTTTTTAAACTAATATTTAATCCTCAAAGCTTTTCTAAGCTCTCTCTTAGGCAAATAAACTAACTAGTAGTACTTACAAAGCACCTTCTAGTCAATGAAATGAATTCAGATATATCTTCCAAAAACCAAACCCCTATAATTTACTTGCAGGCCTAAGATAATTTAATTTGTATAAAATTCGGTTACAGAGGCATTAGAAAAAAATTACAGAATTGATAATTTATTGTTATTACAGATTTCATTTTCTATTATAGAAAGATAATAAAATTTAATTTAATAAAAATGAATGTAATGTTTGCTTAAAAATTGCACTTTATGTAGTCTGCAAATAGAGCTATGTAAAATTTCATCAAGAGCTTCAGCTCAAAGGACTGCTTATAAGCATTGAGACTGTTTTACCTTCATTACACAAATATTTACATTTATCTGGGCATAATTTACTTGTTTGTTGATCAGATTAATAATAATAATTACAACAATTAGATAAATAAGTTTTTCAAAAATAAAATATATAATTATATGTAATAAGGAAGCAATTTCATTGGAAAAAAAACTTAACTTTCATTTTTATAACATGGATAAAACTGAATCTAGAAATAATGAAAACTATTATAGTGAAGATTAAAATGTAACTAAAAATTTTTTTAATCTCATTTACAAAACACGGTCCAAAAGATATGTAGGTATTAATCTTTTCGCTAGAACCATAAAGAGTACTTTACAATATCTATATTAGATACCTATTATCAGAATTAAAGCAGCACAACCTACACAATAATTATTTACATGTGACTAAAGAACCTCCTAGCAATTGATGAAGCTACAAAAAAAAAAGCATTACAGAAGGAGACTAGATTGAAAGGTATTATTCTTAGAAATTCTACATGTCAAAGCATTTTTTTAACTTTATTTTTAAAATTGAAAGTTTAAAATACTTTTTTCACCCTGGCAACTGTAGTTGAAACACAAAGATACCATTACAGAAATATCCTACTTAACACAAGATAAGAGAAAGTTATCAAGAATAAAATAACTGCAATATCAATATAAACCAGCTTAAGAATAATAAGACATGAATCTTTACATGACCATCCTATTAAAATCAAATTACCATCCATCCAATATGTAATGCAATATTTTCAAAAAATTAAAAAACATTGTACTCTATTTATACATCGCAAATTGTTAAAAAAGAAAACTAGGTATATAATAATAATAAAAAAAATCTGGCACATTTATGGTAATTTATTATTTTATTTTAAGTTTACTTTTAATACTTATTATAATTGAAAATATGACATTTTTATATAGGTGTGTTATTCACCTCATCAAGTTCTGAAAGAAGTTGAGAAAAGTCAATTTCATCTTTTTTTCGAGAACCCCATCGTACATTGGAGTTCATTTTATTCATTGAGTATCACATTTATTTATTATTATATCTTGGAAGCAAAACTTCGTCTATTTACTCTAGTTACTAACTCCAGGAACAAGTCGAAACTCCTACTGTCGAAGTTGCCATTTATTAAAAGATAATTAACTCAGTTAGTTAAATTAATAATATTAGAACAGAATAATTATAGTTTTTTATTATTCATTATCGTTTTTTTTCAATATAATATACAACTTATTTCGCACATTTTCTTCTTTGACATCTTCTCTAATTAAAGCTATCTCTAATGAATTTGAAGATGAAGGCTGTTGCTTGGCTGCCCGCCTTAGAGGCATTTGATTGGTCGATTACATCATCGTTTTCATCTTTATTGCTTAATCGTATTGTCAGGATTACTAGAATGGCATTTTTAGCATTTTTGTTTGGCGTAATTTTACTACTGCGCATGTTCGGTTTGAGAATTTATTCGAACCAATCGAAGCACTTCG